ATTTAAGAGTCCAAATCCAAATATCAGATTTGGATCAAGAAACTCTCTCCTAATTAGATTAGGAGGCTGATCCAAGGAAGACTATAAATARGAGGCAAAATCTGATTTATAATCTGATTAGGATTAGCTGAAAGGATAAGATAAGTCTTATCCATTTAAGAGTCCAGATCCAAATATCAGATTTGGATCAAGAAACTCTCGCCTAATTAGATTAGGGAGGCTGATCCAAAGAAGACTATAAATAGGGGGCGAATTCCTCAATTTTAACACACAACAACCTGTAGAATTCTCTCATATTCTTGCCATCCCATCCCAGTTTGATCTCCTCTTGTGGAATTGATCAAGAAAGGTTCTTGATATTGTTTCTTGGTTGAAGAAACAATCTGAAGTCGTGCTCACCAGCCCTTGTTCGATTCTTGCTGAAGAATGTTGGTTCTTGCTGTAGAGCCATCCTGTTGATCCTGTTTCATCACACACTGTGTCATCTTCAATGGAAGTGGGTTTTGGTTTTCACCTTGGCCCTGAACACCTTCATTGGGAGTTACTGCTACTTCGTATCAGGTATATCTCTCTCCTCCCTTTTGGTTTCAGATATGGTTTGGTTTTGTGTTCAAGATTGATCATTGAAAATGCAGTTTTCTAAAATAGGGAATGCGATTACCGGATGGGAGAAAAATAAATTTTGAAATTTTGCCCAACCTTCCTACAGGGTTCGGCCATCCATATGATGGATCTCCCATCCCTTCAGTTGTGCTGGTGGTCCCCACCCTTCCTCTTCTTCTCATGGGGCCCATTGTGGCGCTCAGCTTCCCTTTCCTGGTGGTCCTCGTTGAAGCCTCTTCGGCTGCAATATACTTTTGGGACTTCTTGAGGAACTCTAGCTTCGTCTTCAGCGGGGTCTTGGCGATGGAGCACTTTAGGGCTGAATCGGCGCGAAGCCCATTGATGGCAGCATGCATAGAGACCATGGGGTCAATGTCACGGACCTCGAGCTCTTCCTTTTTGAAGCGGTCAATGTAGGACAACAAACTCTCTCCTTGCTTCTGCTTGATAGACATTAGCAAGACTACGCTTTTCTGGCATCGTCTGCTGCTGATGAAGCGAGCAAGGAATTGGTTGAAAAATTGCTCCCACGAGCTGATTGAACGAAGCGGGAGGATGGAAAACCAACGACGGGCAGCTCCTTTGAAGGTGACCTAGAAAGTTCGACACATCAAGGTATCGGAATACCCGTAAAGTATCATGAGTGGTCTAAAACCTTGCAAGTGGTCATCAAGGTCTGAGGTCCCAACGTACATCTCTAGTGTGGGAGCCTTGAAGTGTTAGGGGAGGGGTTCAGTGATGATGTCCAGGGTGAAGACGTCCATCCTCCATGTCGATTTGCTCTGGTCAGCTGAGGCATCAGCTCGGCTCTCTCGAACTTAACGGAGCTCATCCTTGATGGCCCTGATCTTGGCTTGTAGTTCACAATCTGGGGGTCGGCTGGGGCTTGCCACCCGTCCCTGTCTTCACGGGCGCAATGAGGGTCAGCGCAAACTCCAGAATGCTTTGAGTTAGGACCGTGTGCCTCCCATTTGGCACGGCAGTCATTGAAGACGTCGCAGAGATCTAAGACCGGCGTGGGAAAGGCGAGGTGTTGGCCCTCGGCCCTTGAGTGGGTGCTACGATGGCCGAGGTGCCCACCCTCGTCCCAAGGGTTCTCCCTCTTATGGCGGTGGTGTTGTTCAGAAGGTTGGTGGCTGTCTTTGGGCCGCACTAGCTCTTCCTCCCTTCAGCTAGGAGGCCTCACATCTCTTTGTGTCGGGCTGGCGGGTCGACTGCTGCCAAACTCGGCGGGCTCGGCCCATTGGGGGTCGGCTAGGCAACGGTTTCCACAGACAGCACCAATTGTTGATACTCGATTCGGCCGAGGGCAACAAGGTAAATTCACTCCCAAGCTTCGAAGGAAGGCCGAAGGCTTTGAGGGTCTAGAGGTGATGAGCCAAGGCTGAGGACTGGAGGCTAAGGTGAATCGCTCCTTCTGATACTATAGAAGCCGAGGGCTAATATTGAGAAGGACTTTCAAGGGAGGATGAAGTATTGTTCCCACAGTGATGTATCTTCAAGGGAGGAGGTGTCAAAGGCCTCGGGTGAGAACCCAAGGTGAGGACTCTGACGGTCAAGTTAGTATGCATGCAAGGTAAGTAGTGAGTCTGGAGCCAAGGGGTCCAAATGAGGTCTCAGATAGTGCTAAGTCCTTGGACCAGAGAGCACTAGATATCACAAAGGTTTCCAATCCCTTACCTTGTAGGGGGTGCCTTGCATTTATAGCCGGAGCTGCCAGGGGGTTGTCAGACTCGAATGGTCCAGATGCGAGCCGTATGAGGGCCTGGCGAGATGTTTTGCTAGATCCACGCGGCGCTCTACGATTGAGTCCACATGGTCCACATCGGGTAACCATGAGTGTCCTCATGGTATGCCTATGCTAGCGCCCTCTATTCGACACACATCAGCCTTGTACAGGCCAGCCGAATGTACCTACATCATTCCCTATTTTCCTTCTTGAATAGTTCGACCAAGTGGGTCAATGGTAATTCTACTTGCCTTCTTCAACAGTTCAACCAAGTGGGTCAATGGTAATTTGCAAACATTGGTAGCTACTAGCATGTTTAATTCTAATTGGACGTTACTAACCAATGTAACAATCTTGTTTTGTAATTTGTTTGTTTTTTATAAGAGATTTTTGGGAGACGAGATTTGCTGAAGATGAAATCATGTATACCGGGCTGGGTTACCTATCATGAATGAATACATCCATGGTTAACGAACCATTGTTGATCTGAACAATCGGACCGTTTGGCCTGGGAACCGTCTAGGCAACTGGTTCCGCTTTACCCGTAACCTGGTCCTAGGCCAAAAACCATTGGATCGGTCAACAACTTGTTGATTGGGTGGTCAAACCGTTGACCCATCAACCCATTTAACAGTTTTTAGCCATTTTTTATTTTCAATTATTTTTTACTTTTACTTTTTAATTTTTAATTTTTAATTATTTTTTTTTATTTTTATTGTCAGAATGATCCATCTATTCAAACCGTACGGTCGAACCGTTGACCCAAAAACCAGTGGCTACAATGATTCTATTCCCAAATAGTTTTTAAAACCATGAACAGGATAGACCATGGCTTTTGAACTATTATTGGCCCGAATGGTTGGACCATTTACCCCAAAAACTATCCAAACAATCGATTCCATTTCACTTTAACCTGTTTCTTGGCCAAAAACCATTGACTTAGTTAGCAACACATTGATTTAACCATTTTTTTATTTTAATTATTTTTAATTATTTTTTAAATTGAAACAGGCCACCCATTCAACTCAAATGGTCAAACTGCTGACCCAAAATCCAGTGGCCAAAGCAGTTGCAGTTCCAAAACGATTTTTAAAGCATTGACGCAAACTTTATATGGCCAGGTTTTCAACCAGACGTTTTTGGGGTCCTATTTCCATGTAGACAATGAATGATCAACCATTGGAAAACAAATAGTTCAATTGGGTATCGAATAATTTCCATGAAATAATACCACAACCATTGAAATCCCCAGGACATAGAAAAGAAACAGATAGAAGATGGATAACTGGATGTAAACATTTTTCCAGAATGTTGCCTCCATCTACCCCTATATCCTCAACCATAAACTCCTGAGAAAGAGAGCAAAGCAACATTTGATTTTACATAGATAAGCAAATGGGATATACAACAGGAGGGTGGCCCATGTTGGGAGCAAAGCCACGCCTAAGCTACTTGGCACCTTCCATTGCAACATTTGATACAGTGTAATTTATCTCCTTACTTCTACAAAACTATATATGGATTTGAAGACTGCACTCATCATAGTGAATATTAGCTCAGAAATCTTACTCAAAATCATATATATGCCTGATTCTCTATGCTCTCTTGGAATTTAACCCACCACCAGATATTAAACAAGTACCTTCGTGAAGGATAGAATCATCCATATGATTCTGGCCCCGTTCGTTTTTCAGTAAGTTATTTACCCGGGTAAATGTAATTACCTAGTAAGTTTTTCATGGGAAACACTTGTCCAGATAAGTGCATTTACCCATGTTCTTTTATTTCTCAGGTAAATAAGATAATAACTATTTTAGTCATAAAAAATCCATTATCAAAAGGGGCATTTTTGTCCCATTCAAGTGTTAGCAACTTTCCTCCTAAATGGGAAAATTATTTACCAACCGAGGAGATAAACTTTCCCTAGTCCCCACATTAATTTGAAAAATGAACATGAGATTCTTGGTTAATGGGAACTAAAATCCCATTGACCAACTTTCCCCCCTCTCAAAAAATCTAAAAAAAGGAACGCCCCCTCAGAACAAAACAGTTTAAAGGGACTAATGTATGATAAGGTGGTATACATAGCAAGTTTATCTTCATACTATTAATAACAAGTTAACAACTACTTCACAAAACAAGACATCAATTGATTTTCCAGATCAAAAACAGTTGGGTAGATGTCCAGATACAAGATGAACCTGGCATGATACTACTTAAATTCTGGAACAATCTAGTATAGCCACTACATACGGATAATGTTCATACAGTTCAATATAACCATAAGCAATGGATACTTTCTGCACAAAATGATGCCCATTCTCCCTTTCCATTCATTCTCTTCTGCCCTTGTGTTCTCATTGTTAGCAAGCAACATACTCCAGCATCATCCTGGATGAAATATAAACCATGAAGAATTGGATGGATAAGCATTTGAAGAAGATTCTATGAAGAAGCAACATACACATTGGTTAATTATCCATAAATAAAGAAAATCAACACATTTGATTCATTAAATCCATTTAAATAGATTGAAATAAACTGTTATATATTTATAGAAGAAACGTTTGAAGCCATCATAATGAAATCAGCTCAAAGAAGCATAAATTAACATAAAGATTGAAGGAGGAAAATGTACAGAAATAGATTGGAAGCAGCTAACTTTACCTCACCTCCCTGATCCGTTCTTTGTTACTTCCCTATCATACTGTAGGCCAGAAATCCCATCTTCAGCCTAAAAAGTAACCAGACTCCCCACATAAGAACAGCATATAATCCAACCTACCTCAAGAAAAGCTCTAAGTTCCCTAACCACATTTCTTTTTGGGTCATAGAAGATAAACTTCTTGCTATACTCTTCCATTAGTACAATTCCGCCATCCTTTGAAAATAAAAAGGGGGTAGAGTATCTTAAATCCACATCAAATTTAGTCCGGAAAAGTTTGACCCAGGAGTCCTTAATTCCACAATCCTCCATAACCCATACCTCAATGAAATTATCAGGAAGACGTTCAATATAAGAGAGACGTCCTCTCACAATTCCCACATCCTTGAACGCGATGGGAAATTCCTCTTCACTACTGGTGTTGGGCATTGGGATCTCTCTGAATTCCTCATCCTCTACAGCAAAAGATACGATCAGGTCATGTCGTTCCGGCTCTCGAGATGCAATCCAATAAAGAGTTCCATTAGCACGAGTCTCCCAAGGTATTTCGTTACTAAAATACCAAGGGATTGGTTCCAGGTCTCTCCATGAATCAGTACCCATTGTGTGCACCATCACTTCCCATCCATTGATTAATGACTTCCCAGACTCAAGACAAAACATACATAAACCTTAGTACTTTGTATTCTTCAGTTATCGAAGAGTAACCCAATTTCTAGGAATTGAAAGGTCTTAAGCGATGGAATTGACGCGGTGGAGGTAATTTCTTGTGCTTTCGGGTAGATGGGTTCCATAGGAATGCAGTGCCCCAATTACCTAAGCAGAGTAAAGAATAATTGTATGGATCGATGTTCAAAAGAATGATAATTCTGTGTTGTTTTCAATGGAGTCAACCGCCCATATATATACAATTACATCATGATCAAAATAGCAAGACTAGAAAATAGCAACTTCCTAAAAACAATACCTTCCTAAAACTCTAGCTTCCTAAAAATCCATATGCACAATATTAGCAACTTTCTAAACACAATATTAGCACCTTCCTAAATATAATATTAGTAACTTCCTAAACACAATATTAGCAACTTCCTAAAACAATGTATACACTATCTACAATATCTCTATTACTCCCCCTCAAGTTGGAGCATGTAGGTCACGTATGCCCAACTTGCGAAGAAGAAAATCGAACTGTCGTCGGCCAAGTGCCTTTGTCAAAATATCTGCCAACTGATTATAAGTCCGTACATGAGCAATTTCATTAGTCTAGGCATGTAAGGCATCACGAACAAAGTGACAATCAACCTCTATATGTTTGGTGCGCTCATGAAACACCGGATTAGCTGCAATATACATAGCTGCACAACTATCACAATGCAGTTTCATAGGTCTAGGATGTTCCACCCCAAGATCACGTAGGACACACTTCAACCACTTTAATTCACGTGTCGCAACTGCCAGGGACCTATACTCTGCTTCTGCAGATGACCGTGAGACGGTATGTTGCTTTTTGGTTTTCCAGGAAATAGGAGACCGTCCAAGCATTACAAAGTACGCAGTCAAAGAGCGTCGTGTCAAAGGACAACTAGCCCAGTCGGAGTCACAATAAGCATATAATCTGAGATCACTGTTGGCAATCAAGATGATTCCCTGTCCTGGATTCCCTTTTAAGTGTCGGATCACCCGTAGAGCTGCATCCCAATGTTCTTGTCGTGGTTGTTGCATAAATTGAGCCAATATGTGCACAGAATAACAAAGCTCAGGCCGTGTTATAGTAAGATAAATTAATCTCCCTACTAGATGTCTATATTTTTCTGGTTCACCCAGGAACTTTCTGTCGGCCAGTGTGAGTCGATGATTTTGTTCCATGGGCAGATGGGCCGGTTTAGCCCCTAGAAATCCTGTTTCAGAAATAATATCTAGTGCATACTTTCGTTGGCAGAGATAGATGCTCTCATCTCCTCTGGCGACTTCGATGCCAAGAAAATACTTCAGTGTCCCAAGATCCTTCATGTGAAAGCACCGACTCAGATACTGTTTGAATTGATGTATCATCTCCCCATTGTTTCCTCCCACAATAAGATCGTTCACATACACCAAAACACATAGTGTAGCTCCTTCCTTATGGTAAGTGAATAAAGAATAGTCTGAGTGCGATTGAGTAAATCCATACATCTTCAACGTCGTGTCCAATTTGGCAAACCAGTTTTTGAGTGCCTGTCGCAATCCGTACAAAGATTTGTGTAGGCGACATACCTTGCCTGAATGTGTAGATGAAAAACCGGGCGGCAATCGCATATACACCTCTTCCGCCAGGTCACCATGCAAAAAGGCATTATGCACATCCATCTGATGAAGCTCCCACTTTCATGCCACTACTACAACCAAGAACAACCGAGAAGTCACCATCTTTGCCACTGGAGTGAAAGTCTCATTATAGTCTACCCCAGCCTTCTGATTGTTCCCTAAAATCACCAATCTTGCCTTGTGCCTTTCAATCGTTCCATCTGAATTATACTTGGTCTTGTATACCCATTTGCACCCGATCGCTCGCTTCCCGGGGGGCAACGGTTCAAGGGTCCAGGTCCCATTATGCTCAAGAGCTTCAATTTCCTCCTTCATGGCTTGTCTCCAATGTGGCTCACGGATTTCCTCTGAAAAATATGTGGGGTCTTTCCCTGCAGTTATAGCTGCCAAAAACTGTCTATGTCTCAAAGAAAAATTAGTGCAAGTCACGTAACGTGTAATAGGATAGGATGCATCTGAGGAGTGGCATGATGGGGCATGATCAACAAGGGGGTCGTCAGTGTGCTACGTTGTGTGGCATACATAGTCCTTCAGCTTCTCAGGAGGACGCATTTCCCTACATCCTCGACCAAGCTTTTCACCTTCATTGTTACTTTCCAAGGTCACGTTGCCCTCTCTCTATTCATTAAGAACTTCACCACTCCCCCTTACTACCGGAGGCAGATCTTCTTCAGGAGTTGATTCATTATATGAATTGTCTGCACTATTCACCTCATGATCATCAAAGAATTGTACATCATTATTACAGACAGACGGTTGCTCAGTCACACCGGGGTTAAGAGATTCAGAAATAGTAGCTTTATAAGGAAAAATATGTTCAGAAAATACAACATCACGAGATACAAAGAACTCATTTGTATCTAAGTCATAGAGTCTCCATCCTTTCTTACCGAAAGGGTACCCAAAAACACGAATATGTTTGTAAGTTGGTTCCTTCCCAAACAGCAATTCACATGGACTCTTTCCATCAAGTAAAGAACTTGGAGTACGGTTAATCAGGTACCCAGCAGTCAACACACATTCACCCCAAAAACTCACCGGTAAATTTGCCTGAAAACGCAAAGCACATGCAACATTCAGAATATGTCGATGCTTGTGTTCCACCCTGCCATTTTGCTGAGGTGTCCCTACACAAGATGTTTGTTGAATGATGCCATGAATATTACAGTAATTACTCAAGGCTACGAATTCCGACCCGTTATCACTCCTTATCACCCTAACCTTACTGTCGAATTGGGTCATTACCATAGCACAAAATTTCACAATGTTAGCACTAACTTCACTCTTTTCTGCCATTAAATAAATCCACACTGCCCGTGAGTAATCATCAACGATGGTCAGAAAATATACAGCACCACATGAAGTAGGAGTACGATATGGTCCCCAAACATCACAATGAATTATAGCTCGAAGGAAACACATCACGGGTTTGTTTAGCTCTTAAACAAATATCACATGCCTTATTGCGTGTTTCTTGACTAGCAAGTTTATTTTTGATAGTAGGAAGTAAACTAACAACTCATTTTGAGGGTTGTCCCATTCACCTGTGCCACAGATCATACGAGTCCACCTTTTCCAATCTGCATGCACTTGCCCTTGCCACACAGCGCCAAAGATAGACCCCATCAGGCTTCTCACCCACACCAATCACTGTCCTCGAAGTGGGGTCCTGCATTACACATAATTTGTCAGAAAACGTGACTGTACATTTTAATTCATCAATAAATTGAGACACAGATATCAAGTTGCAATTCAAGTTGGGAACATATAAAACATGTTTTAAGTTCAATCCTTTCCCAAGTTGCACTTCTCCTTCTTGCAACGCCATCATATTCTTTCCATCAGAGAGTCCAACGGCACAAGGAGCGATTTCATGCACATTCTTCAATAGCTCCAAATTCCCGGTCATATTATGAGAACACCCTGAATCAATCAACCACATTTTCTTACCCGTCAATTTCTCTAAAGTGGATTCCTTGTGTGAATTGATCATCGCCATTAACGTTACCCATTGTTCATCATATTAAGCCCGGGAAAACCAGCTTTATCGCTGGTCCATACAGCCGCAGCAGTGGTGCTGGTGCCGCAGCTTCTTGGTGATGGTACCGGTGAATTGGAAGATTGGTATAGTGTGAATTCCATGTTGGTGGCATGGATATTCAATACCATAGAACCAGGGCTCCGATCTACGATCTCCTATATGGAGACAACAAAGGAACTTTGGGAGGATCTTCGGGAACGGTTTGCCATTGGGAATGATCTGCGGATTCACCAATTGGGAACTTTCGAATCAGCCATAGTGTAAGTATGGCTCTGATACCATAAAGAATAATTGTATGGATCAATGTTCAAAAGAATGATAATTTTGTGTTGTTTTCAATGGAGTCAACCGCCCATATATATACAATTACATCATGATCAAAATAGCAAGACTAGAAAATAGCAACTTCCTAAAAAAAATACCTTCCTAAAACTCTAACTTCCTAAAAATCCATATGCACAATATTAGCAACTTTCTAAACACAATATTAGCACCTTCCTAAATATAATATTAGTAACTTCCTAAACACAATATTAGCAACTTCCTAAAACAATGTATACACTATCTACAATATCTCTATTACAGAGCACACCGTTACAAGAACTCTGTATTGAAAATCTCGTTGGCGATCCCTCGGGAAATGCAAAATCAAGTCTCACCTTGTTTCTCCGAGGATCACATGCATCAAAATCAATGTAGTAATGTGGTCTGCGGTAAACGATGAGGTTGGGGTTTTGATCCTCAGAAGATCGATTGAGATGCATTTTAATGAAATCTTGATTGCTAGTTAGAGCGCACCAGGGTTTGCAAACACACCTAAAACGCAAGACCGACTTGACGGGTAGCCTCGAAAGTATGTTGACGATGATCTCCTCTGGCAGGTTTTGTTGTTTGGATTCACTCTCTTCTCCTTGTCGCTGCATTTCTTTAACAAGCTTTCTTGCACAAATCCAAGAAACTTATTAACAAAAGAGATGGAGAACGGAAAACCCTGCAGACTGCACACTGTTCAAAGTTGTATAAAAAAGCTCTAAAAGATAACCGACACACCAAAAAACAGTTTATTCAATCCCGTTGTTGAAAAATAATGGGAGAAAGACGGTTCAGCTAGGGTCAAAATTTATAGACTTCGGGTTGTTGCCAGTTTGAATGTTTATAATTTTGCAGTAGAAATCAGAAATCCACTTTCTAGAAACTTAACTAGCCAACATGGCTCAAACTCAAATTACCTCTAAATTTCTAGAGAATGTAACATTCTACATAAAATGTCTGGAATGTTGGTGGGCTTTGTTCTACATAAAATGTCTTAGCTATAGTGAGGTGAAGTCATGTACTTATTTGAACAAGCCAATGCAAGTGACCACTTGAGCCTTTACCATTTGCTATCACTCTATCTTACCTAATCTATTTTCTCTGACACCCCTGCCCTTCTTTCTATAAACTAATACATATCCCAAGTCTTAACAATTCCACTCTCCTCCATAACCCAATATTGGTAACAGAGCCCGGTTCGGTTGGTTTTTAGGTGTTTTTTCTTGTTAACTAAAAATCTCCATTATCCCAAAGCTTATTATGGCCACCATTCTAGCTAATAGCTAGTTCCAATCACTATTTTTTTTTTTAAACTATGACTATTGGGCCATTAAAATGAAGACTTTTTTCATGTCCCAAGATCTATGGATAAAGAATTTCTTATCCTTGAAAGTAGTTCTACTCTATCTGTAACAGAACAAGAGAAATTATAGAAGAATATAGAGAATGATAATCTTGCTCTCTATCACATATTACTGGCAATGTTAGAACTGATTTTCCAAGAATTAGTGGTGCTACAAGTGCCAAAGGTGCATGGGATACCTTGAAGTAGGAGTTCCAAGGCAGTGCCAAGGTACGTGTTAAACTTCAAACTCTTAGAAGGGATTTGGAGAATATGAAGATGAAGGATTCTAAGACCATTAAAGATTATTGATGAGGGGCATTTTGGTCATCCCACTTAACGGCGGACACATGGATGCTGTCAGCAACACAACGTCTGACTCAGCGAGACAGCTTGCCAATTCAGCATGTGATAGTCTATAACAGGTGTACGGTCAAGCTGAGGCGAGCTCAGCCCACCAACAACGATAGCTCGCCCCAAAACCATCCCGCATGCCATGTCCGTTCTGACACCATTACCGCAACTACAGGAACAGCTCGTCGAACCATGTGCCACAAGACCCATGGGCGACCTGTAACTGCCACGTGAATTTAGCAACTAACGGCCCAGCACCCCCTCAAACTGCGGAAATAGTTCCGTAGAAAACTTAAAGATGTTGTCTAGTGGCACCTGAACACCTAATAACTAAAAAGAACCCAAGATCACTCTGAAAGGTATGCGCACTAAAGGTCTTGAACTCTCTCAAAGATTCCCATTGAAGTGCTTTCCTGGGTAAAACATACCCAGGCACTCTAACCTATCTCTCTTTACAGCATCTCTCAACTCGAATTCCTAGCTCGGAATCATAACTCACCATTGTCAGGTTTGGACTCAGTTCGAGCCACCTCATCAAACACGAGGGAGTGAGCAAATTGTGCATCACCAATTGGTACCGTGTGTAGGAAACGCAACAAAAAGCTATTATTTCCTTTTATTCATTCTATCTCATTTTGTTCAGAAGAAGTCTTTCAATTGCGAACTCAGGAAACCCTTCTACTAACAATATTAATGGCCAAGTGCCAACAATCACGATAGGTTAAATAGGTGTCCCTTTACCACAAATTGATGTGCAGGAAAATGTGAACATGCCACCCCCTCCTCCAGTTGTGAATCCCATGGCACCTCCCGTAGCAGTAGACATACAACAGTTTAATGAATTGGTACGATGCATCTACAACATGACCGAACAAATGAGGTCATGGGAAAATAGATTCATATTCATTACTGGACAACAACAGCAACCAATCCAACAACAATAGCAATCACAAGTTCAACAATGACAGCTTCAATAGCAACCCCCTCAGTAGCAGCTTTAACAACAACCCCTTCAGCAGCAACAACAATAGCGCCAGCAATAGTAGTACTGGCAATCGCGCCCTATGACACCAGATCAGCCGATCATGCAAGACGATCAGCAAATACCGCAAGGTAGTCAACCTCGCAATAGCCATCAACCCCCTTTTTACAACTCAAATCATGAAAACCCACCTCCCCAACAAATACGCAGTGGTCTGAAATGAGTAGGTACCAATAAAGAGTCAAGCAGATGCACCAGTCAAGTCCAATGCAACTAGTTCTTCCGAGTACACTAAGAAGAAGAAGCGGAGACACCGCACGGGAAAGAAAGTACAGCTCGCCCGGGCAAACAGTATGGTACCACCTGGAGAATCCAGCGTGGCAACTGGTAAAATGGTATCCCTCTTGGAGCAACATAGCCTGACCCGCGAGACTCCTCTAGCACTCGAGATCCTAAAAGCACCACGGCCAAAAACTTTTAGGCTCCCACCCTAGAATCCTACCGGGAGAAGATAGACCCCG